TACCTCATGACCCTTTGTGTAAGTTTTATACTTGGCCTTCATGTGTTCTGCCTTCTTCTCATCCTCCTCCATCTTTTTCCTTGCATTCTCCATCTCCACTTGCAAAGCTGCAACTTTCTCTGCGTTCACTGCAACACTTGAGAGCCCGTATGCGTTCCGAGTGGGGAAGTACATGAGATCGTTCACGCATGTGTTGTGAGCTTCTACGAAATCATCAAGTGACTCGTTCTCGTGTCCCATCGAGACGCAAAGAAACTGGCCTTCCTCCTTTATCATTCTGTCAGCCTACCAAAAAAAATCATGGGAAACCTTCATTAGAATATCACACTAGAGTATACCAAATTAAAGATGTTACTTCATACAAAGGCGGTTTCACATTCATGCAGACAATATCCATCGATACATCTATCCATCTACTTAAGGAGAAATAAGGATTCCAGCAGTAGGCCGAAAAATTTATCAACCAAACAACTAAAGTAAACTGACATTGGGAAGATATATTCGTATACATACCTCTTGGAGTTCATTTTCCTCAAAATCTTCAATTGCAAGAACTTGAGAAGCAGAACTGTTGGCACGGTTCTTGCCTCCTTTCTTTTTCTCAGCTTTCTCATCAAGAGGATACTTTGCATTATCATGCTCCAGCAATTGTAGAAGCTCTTTTCGTACCATTTCATCTGCATCCTCAACTGGAGTAGGAGGAACAACGGAACTTTTTTCTCCGTTGGCTGAAAGCAACGAATTCCTAATTAGTTCCAATGAAGCCACTGGAGGTCTAGGAAGATCTCTCTGCAACACCTTGGACCTTTTCCTAAGCAGCGCCTGCTGTCTTGCTTCCTCCTCAGCTTTTTCCCTAGCTATCCTGTCTGACATATCTTCCTCAATTTTCTCTTCTGGCTCTTCACTATCCTCTGGAGGAGGTTGTGCAACTATTTGGTACTCGTTCTTTGGCTGAGGAAGCCCAGTCAGACCAGAGCGTAAGCTCCTTCTAGCTTCTTCTCGTCTCTGCCTCTCAAGTTTTGCACTCTCGTGCATGTCCATGTCTTCATTTATGTGAAGTTCGTCCCTGAAGGGAGTACCTTTGGGTGTCATAGCAAAAGAAGACCCATCCCTTGATGGCGTCAAGCCAATTCTGGGAGTAAGGCTAGCACCACCAGGAGTCATAGAAGGGGTCAACATTGGATTAGGCGTTTGAATATCCTTCTTCCTCGGAGTGACCCCAGTAAAATCAGAAGGGTGCAACTCAGGATTTTCTCCTCCTAGCAAAGGTGTCTGAGAGTCTCTTAATCTAGCCAGGTTTTCTGCTTCCATCATAATAGCATCACCTTTACCAGCAGGAGTTCTTTGAGGTGTCCTCATGGGTGTCATTCCTTGCCTTGGTGTTTGTGAGTAATTTGCCAAAAGCGCACGTGTAGCAGCACTGCCTTCTGTTAGCTCCTCATTCTCTGCAAGAAGGTCACTGGCGTACCCCATCTTTGCAATTTCCTCTAGCTCGTGGTCTGAAATCTGCGGTGGTGGTAACATCAGCTTTGACCTCTTCCTCACAGCTTCTGGATCATTCATCTTGTTCGCTTGCAATATAGCTGCTGGAGCATCCTGTCTCTCAGCAATTTTGTTCCTTGCAACATCTTGTTTGCGTAACTGTGCTTCTACATCAGCCCTTCTTTTACCTTCAAGTTCTTCAATGGTAGTTGGAAATTTTACTTGGTCAGCAGGACGATCTTCATCTACAGTATCATAAAACCCCGAAGGTGCCCTCTTTTCAAAAGGAATTTCTGCATTATAGTCGATTCCCTTTCGCTTCCTTTTCCTATGCCTTCCATCAATTCCCGCTGCTTTTAGTTCTCTTCTCTTTTGCAGAGAAGCAAGCCTTCTAGCTTCCTCAAGTTGTTTTTCTCGAGCTTTTCTTTTAGCCTTCTTTCCCCTAGTGTTAGCCAATCTAGCTCTTGCTTCAGAAAGCATTTCTTTCTCATCTTCATCCATGTCCACTGGATCAGGTCGAGCAGGCTTTGATTCTGGATTTGGATCAATCTCACCAGGACGTAATTTTCGTGGATCATCCGCAGCATCATAATTCTCGTCTTTAGTGCATGCTGCATCAAGGAGCTTTTCATACCTCTCAAGGCATTGAGATGGTGTACGTCCCACAATAGGAGCAATAGTTCTCCACTGAGTAGGCAGAAGTTTTGCAAGATGTAGAAGCTTCTCATCTTCTTCTCTGGTCCATTCAGTCTGCGTTAAACATCATAAGAAAATAACTCAGTCTCTAATTCAAAAACATCAAAAAAAGCCTTAGAACATTCCAAAACTCCTGACATTTGCCTACACTTTGTACGAATCTCAGAAACATATGAACACATTGATGCAACTAAATTTCCGAGAAAAAAACAAGCTAACAAACCACCTATAAGCCTAAATTCCAAACTATTTGTTCATTGTTTCCCAGATCCAAAAAATTCATCGAACACAACCACGAGAAAAAGGAAAACGCGAACACCACTTACCTTTTTGATAGAAGGATCGAGCCATTCGTACCAGCGAGCTTTACACTGTTTGGCTGACTTACGAACCAGAAGAGATGAGATCCGAGCCCATTGGTTCTTACCATACTTCATCACGGCGGCTTTGAGAATCTCATCTTCGGTGTTCTTCCACACACCTCCCTTGATCATAATCCTCATCTTCGCTCAACTATTTGTCGCCCCAACGCACCCCAAATTCAAGGTCTGTGATGCTAATGCTCTACGAAATCGGCAGAACAACGAACACGAGGAAGCGAGAGAGAGAGAGAGTAACCCTAGATTAGGGTTGTATAGGGTTGTAACGAACGAAGAAGAAAAGATTCAATCGAACACTAGTCTTTTTCCTTTTAATTGTTTTTCCTAAACTAAATGACGGTAATTATTTTATGGGCCAACAAAAAAGCCCAACAATGCCACTTAAATGGGCCGAGTGATAATATCTTCGTTTTATGAGTTCTTCGACACTGTTCTCTCTTTCCCGTGAAAGCTTAGCAGAGAGAGCTCGAAGCAGTAAAACCCTAGTAGAGAGTAATGGTGAAGCTCACGGCTGATTTGATCTGGAAAAGTCCTCACTTCTTCAATGCTATCAAGGAGCGAGAATTGGATCTACGAGGTAAAACTTCATCTCTTTCCCGTTACTTTTCTAGGGTTTTTGTAACCCTAAACGCATCTCCTCTCGGTAATCGTTTGCTTTTGTTTGGGGTTATTTTTTTGCAGGTAACAAGATTCCTGTAATCGAAAACTTGGGTGCTACTGAGGTACTTTTCTTGTTCTTTTTTTTTTTTGGCGACATGTTCTTATCGAGTTTGGTTTCCTCTTTGTATGTCGGCTGAAGAATTTGCAGATGTGATTGTATGTTTTTAAGTCTGCTTGTTGGGTTTCTGAATTCGAATATTTTGAAAATTCATTGAAAGAAACAGTGATGAATTGGAGAAATTTGCTCCTTTGTCTTAGTTAGCATCTGTTTTCCAACTCGTTAGGTGTATATGTTGCTTTGTGTAATAGAACTTTTCTTCTGATTGTGGGTTCTTTACTTTCTAGAGTCAGTCTTCTCTATGAAAGTATTCCCTTAAGGCAATTGGCATGTTTGAGGGTCTCTGATATGCTTATTGTTGTGAATCTCCTTCATAATATGTCACTTCTGTTGAATTGATTTTGATTACTGATTAACTTGTGTTGTTTTACTAACAGGACCAATTTGATACAATTGATCTCTCTGATAATGAGATTGTTAAGCTAGAGAACTTTCCACACCTCAACCGCTTAGGAACTTTGCTCATAAATAACAATCGGATCACCCGGATAAATCCTAATATTGGAGGTAATGTTCTCTTTCTGCATGTTGTAATAAATTGTATATTCGAACATATTGTTTGCTTTGTTGATTAAGTGTGTCGTTTTTATTGTATGGTTCTTCTGCAGAATTCCTTCCGAAACTTCACTCTTTGGTTCTTACAAATAACAGGCTTGTGAATTTGGTTGAAATTGATCCCCTTGCCTCCATTCCAAAGCTTCAGTACCTGAGTTTATTGGATAATAATATCACCAAAAAACCGAACTATCGCCTTTATGTTATTCACAAGCTAAAATCACTTCGAGTACTGGATTTCATCAAAGTTAAAGCCAAGGTGAGGACCTTTTTCTGTGCTTTATCCACTGTCCATTTTTGCTTACTCTAGATACCCAGTTTGACTTGCTTTTTTTGCTGCATCTCAAGTTTCACCGAGATCTTACAAAAAGTAGAACTTCTGAGAGCAAGAAATTGAGTTGCCTTTTGGTTTAGTTTCGAGCGATTGCATCTTCCGTTGTTTTAGATTCTAGTGACCAGTTATATCTGTACGTTTAATAAGAAACTATTTTTGCTCTGACAACATTTAGCTAAATAAATAGCCTTGTGGTCTTGATGACTTGCTTGCCAATAATAGACAATAATATTAGTTAGTGAAGAAGAAAATGCTAATAGAAAATCCATTTGCCTGACAATCATTGGTTCCTGACAGGAAAGAGCTGAAGCTGCGGCTTTGTTTTCATCTAAAGAAGCAGAAGAGGAGGTTAAAAAGGTGTCTCAGGAGGAAGTTCGAAAAGTGTCAGAGACTGCAGAACAAACAGAAACTCCGAAAGTGGTGGCCCCAACACAGGAGCAAATTTTAGCGATCAAGGTGCGATTGTTGTTCTTTATATTAATTATTAAGTAGGTCAAGGCTGTGTGATAGTAACTTCGGTGTTTCATTTCCATGATGTTTCAGGCTGCAATTATCAACTCCCAGACGATAGAAGAAATTGCCAGACTTGAACAGGTCCCTTACTTTTCTGGATCAAATTTGTGATGATGTTGCTTTTGGTTGATTTTGACAGTCTTCTTTTCTTTTGGCTTGTGGACAAATAGGCTTTGAAGTTTGGCCAGGTTCCTGCAGGCCTTATAATTCCTGAGAAGCCTACATCTGATGTTAACGACGGATCTGGTCCTATGGAGGTAGGGTTCTTATCATAAAATGTTGCTCCTTGTTCTATGAATCTTATGGTTTAAAGTAGATAACTGTGGGGGTATGATTACTTCAACTAAGTCTATCGTTGTTAGGATTAGGATCTAAGTAGATGGTTTTGGAGTTTGACTAAATTCATTGTTGCAGAGTGTGGTCAGTTTATCCACATTAGTGTGACTGACAGTATCAATTTCTTGCTTCTATATTTTTTTCTTCTGGACCATATACCTCAAATACTCTGCTAGTTATCGTGAAAAGGCTAAGGAGAAGCTATTTGTCATTTCTTAGAACTTAGAACTTGAAAATAGTGTAGGACAAGCTATTAAAGTTCCTGTTTATCGTGCGCCAAAGTGGTTCTGAAGAAGTTAGGATGACTACGCTACTTGTTTGCTCAACTGGTTATCCATAAAACCGTTTGCATTATGTTTGGTTTATTTACTAATTTTTTTTGCATTTATTGTCCTTCAGGAATAGAAATCTGACAGTTGCTCCTCCTACTGCGGTAGTTGCTGCTCGAAGGCTCCTGCTGTAAGGTTTTCGTGCGCAATAGGTGGAACCTGTAAACTACTTGTGCTCAAGAGCATCTGTTTTTGAACCCTTAAAAAGAGTGGCAAAGAGGATTGTAGTCTTTTAGTCTGCGTTTGCAGAGAGAGAGAGGGTTGCAGACAGGATTGCAATCTTGTCGATTAATGTCATCATTTACTGCAAACCTAAATTAGATAAGAAATCGGTGGCCAAGAGATGAAACTGCAGGCCATGTTATCCCATTTCTTGAAACCTTTACAATTACGAAAGCGAGACGCTCCTCTGAGAATAAAAACAGGGCAAACAAAGCATAAACAGAGCTTCTCATTTTTGCATAGGATTCAAGTCTACAAATGGTGTAATTGATTCTCATGGAGTTTTAATCAAAATGACTTGCCCTTAACTTCAAATGTAAATCGAACAAAGAAAGCAAAAGAAAACGCTTCTCTTAGTTACAGGGCTCAGGAGCAATGCCTAGGCGGGAATTAGGAACGTCAAACAAGATCCTTAGGTTCTGCTGTTGAAGATTAGCGATCACGTTTAGAACAGCGTTTGCGTTCTGCGGTATTCCCGCCATAGATAGACACGCCAGCGTTCCCGCGCTACTATGGATAAGCGTATTCTCCATCGGCAGCTTCAGGTCGAGTGACGTCATGTGCAGCGTCATCATCGGCGCAACGTTATCGTTATCCGCCGTGAAACACGTGTCGAACGCTCCCAACGTCGAGAATGGCCCTTTCACCTAAAAAGAAAAATCGTACCTTTTAAGAAAATTGAATCCATTTGCATTTTCATTGTCAGTGGGATTAGAATAAATTACCTGTTTTCTAAACTCGTCTCTAATGGCTTCGTAAACCGGTTGAACAAAACGGGTGATAACAGTACCGGAGTCAATAATCGTACCGGCGCCGGAAGTTGAGTCAAAGGTCAAATATTTAAGGTCAATGGGGACATGGACCGAACCAACACTCACTCCGGTTAGATTAACATAGTAAAGCGATGGACGGCGAGGATTACTGAGGAGTGGAGTGTATCTGATGGATCTGGGTTGACCCGTCGGACCCAGTTTCAATGACCCGGAGAAGTAGAACGACCTGAAGCTAGGGAGACAGTAAGAGAACACGCCTGCGTAAAGCGACGTCGTTTGAGAGACCAACGACATGGGCCCACGTCCAAGGCCCATTAGTCCTTGCGGTGGTAGAGAGTTGCCGGAGACGGAGTTGATGCATCCGAAGGAGAAACTGGGGATGACGTCAGAGGCTAACGTAAGCGTGTCTTGGACAAGCGAGGCGGAGAAGGACGAATCTCCACCGTACGATTGGTTGAAAGAGCAGATGGACGGTGGTGATGGTGAGGAGGATGGGCACGTGAGGCCACGTGCTTGGGTGCATTGTGTGGTGGAGCAAGAGACGGTTGAGTAAGTGGAGGAGGAGTTCGGGTTGAAGGAAACGGCGGTAGAACAGCCGGAGCAGCCGGAGCAAGGAAGCCAAACGGCGTCGTTGCTTGTGTCTAGGACCATGAACATGAGCTGTGGTGGAGTGCCGAGTCTTGCTCGGACGACGTAGTTTCCGGTGTGGAAGATTTGGTTGCCGGAAGCGACGGGGACGGAGGTTAGTTTTGGTTTGCCGGCGACGAGGCTTGAGAGGTAAGTGAGGCGGTGAGAGTCGGCGGAGGCCATGTGGAGAACGGTGTCCATTACGGAGGCGGAGGTGTGAGTGGGTGCGAAAGGTGAGCATTTTGCGTTAATGGGAATGATTGAGAGATCGTCGGAGCCGTCGGGAGCTGCGGTTGCACATGGGTCACGTGCGGCGGTGGTGAACGTGAACGGCAAGAGAAGGGTCAAGAAGAAGAAATGGAGGGTTGATGAGGCCATGGTCTTGTGATAATGTGATTGTGTAGATAACGTTTCTTTGAAATGTGTTGTTGGTCTTTATATATAGCGAAAAATAAACCTGAAAGTACGAAAATGTCCCTATACGTTGGTTTATGGCTGGTGGGATCCGGTCAGTTGTATCTGGACTGGCAGTACTACTTGATAAAAAAGTGGGAAGGTGTTTTGTTTTCTTGGTAAATTGGTTAAAAACTTAAAATCATAAGATTTGGTGATAATAGTTTGTCTCTCTGTTTTGTAACTTGGGAGTACAACTCTACTGATAAATCTCTTTTTTTTTTTGTTTTGTACAAATATATATTGCTTATTTCGATTAAGGGGATATGGAAAGCTTGAACACAATTCCTAGGCTGTTGTGA